CTAACTTCTAACTGAAATTTAGCATTTCTTTCCATTTTGAATGAAGGCAGCAAAAATGACTCTGAGGATAAGCTTCACCAGACTGCCAGAGGGGGTCGTGACACACAAAAAGTTAAGAACCCCTGTTCTGATTCTATATGTAACTCATGACTCAGTATTTGGGGCTTGGGGCTCACACGGACCAGGTTAAATCTTAGGGGCTTCACACCAAATAACTCTGTAGTGGGGTTGGTAATGTGTTTTGTTTTGTTGGGAATTTGAGGTCTCCACAGGGGAAACTGAGTGATGAATTCAAGAAGAGGACAAAGACATATGAGAAGTTGGGAGACAGGGTGAAATTTTGTGTGTAGGCAGAGAGCTTAGCCCTTTCCCCTGGATAGTTTAGGGGGCTTCATGCTACCTAGGCTTCCAGGCCCCTTTTCTAATCCTTTCCTTCCTGTAGCCAGCAGCAGGGAAGCTTCTCTGACCAGAAGCCTGGAGCACTTACTGCTTCTAGATCCCGTCATGGCCACTAAGCCACGTTAGCTAGAACCTGAGCTGTGCCCTTTGAAAGAGAATTTAGGACAGATCCTGGCAACCTGGGATGGTCCCAGCAGAGGCATGGAGGTACCAAAAGACCTGCTCAGACCCAGGCCTGGAATATGCTTCCTCCTCACCAACTCCTCTCTAGACACTTAAAGTCCCTTCAGGGTTCAACTCATGTGTCATCTCCTCCATGAAGCCTTCCCTGATTCCACCTCCCACCCCCTAGTTACTTGGGCTTCCCCCCTCCTCAGTTTGCCTGCTAATTACTTATCTATGAATTAATAATAACTGAGTGCTTTATATAGCATTTCAAAGTTTGTAAAGTGATTTTTTGGCGGGGTGAGGGCAATTGGGGTTAAGTGACTTGCCCAGGGTCACACAGCTAGTAAAGTGAGACAGACCAGAAACCCAAGATCCGACCAGTTTGGAAATTCTTTCCTGTGCATTCCAGGCCCAAATCTGCTGGAGACAAATTTATTAATTAAATAAGTATAAGCATTTCTGCTCAGACAGAGAAAATCTAAAGGGACAGAGGTTTGCTCGCCTTTGAAAATCTCTCTGACATAAACCATTTCTTCTCACAATCTGTGGGATTCCTAAACAAAAGACATAATTTTACAATACAATAAAGCTGAGGTAACAGTTTTAACTCATCAGAGAGATCAACAATCCCTTAACTTTTGGGACTCTCTGGACCAGGGGTGGGGAACCTGCAGCCTTGAGGCCATATGTGGCCTTCTAGGTCCTCAAGTGTGGCTCCCTCAAGACTGCTGGTTCCCTACCCCTGCTCTGGACAATCATTTTTCTAAAACCATTCACTCTCTCTTTACCTATTCCCGGTAAGGATTCCTTTTCAACCTTGTTGACAGTGAACTCAAGAAATACTTCTACTAATTAGAGGCAACTAGGTGGTGTGGTAGATGAAGTGTTGGGCCTGAGTTCCAATCCAGCCTCAGATGCTTACTAGTTGTGTGGCCCTGGGCAAGTCACTTAACCGCTGTCTGCCTCAGTTTCCTCAACTGTAAAATAACCTAACTTATCCATAAAAAGTGCATAGTGCTTGGCACATAAATATTTATTCCCTTCCCCCAATTGAATTAATCAGAGCTATTTATTCTTCCTTCCCTTAGCTTGATTAATTTCAGGGAGGAGTCCTTCCTTTCTTAGAATTGGTTAGACTTTTGACATACAAAGGATTTTAGAGTAGGACACCATCTCCTTGGCATTGTTTTATATTCAAGAGAAAATTAATTAGATCTTTCATCTAAGCGAGACCAAGATATTGAACAAGTATTATGTCTTCTTTTCTCAAAGGGAGAATCTAGGGAGCCGCAGTGTGCTTCCATAAGGGGATGGAATTGACTAGTACTGATAGCCACCATGGAACTCCAGCTTTGGTGATTTGGGGAGGGAGGCCCATCTGAACCCTCCCTTTCTTTGTATCCCCAGCAATAAACCAAGACTTGTCACACAATGAGGGCTTAATAAATGTCTGTTAATAATGATGGTAATGATGCTTTCCCTTGTCTTCTGTTTGCTTGCCCAGCCCGTCTTGGTGACTTCCAAACACACAGCCATTTCTCTTATTCTTTCCCCCATCTATCAGCTAGGAGGAGGTGTGGGAGAAGAGGAGACAAAGCGCCTTCAGCAGTTTCTTTCTTTTTTTGTTATAATTTTTCTAAGCAGCAGTACCACTTACAGTTACTTACCTCACTGTGTCATAAATCGCCGCCATTAAAAAGTCAGTCTCCTGAGACTTACAGATGATGCTGGGGGATGAAAGAACAGGTGTTCCAAAGTCAGGACGGGCACTCGGGGGAAGAGCTGAAAGGCTTTTCCCACTTGAGTAATTTCGTAGCACAGTGCACCTCGGGCTCCTGCATCTATATTGAACCTGGAGTCAGTGCCCAGGCATTGCGAACTAAACCGAGCACCTTGGTGGAAAGGGGACAGCTCAGTGGCTCGTAGGCTGGAGCCTTCTGGCGAGCAGCAGGACTGCCTCAGCCTCAGGTAAAGCACATGCCACGGGCAAAGGCACATGAATAACCTCTGACAAAGTCACTGGGCCAGTCAGCTGAGCACAGCACCACCTGATGGCCAAAATATAAACTACACTCCCTAACAGTTCATGGAGAGATTGATTAAGACAACCTGCTTTTCTCTAGGCCACAAAATGTGGAGTGACAAGCCTGCTGTGGGGAGCCAGTGTTAGGGCAACACCACCGTGTGTACATTCAGGGGTGGGGAACCTTCTACTTTGAGGCCACATTGGTCCGCTAGGTCCTCAAGTGCGGCCCTTTGTCTGAATCCAAACGTGTGTGCTTGAGGACCTAGAGGGCCACATGTGGCCTTGAGGCCGCAGTTTCCTCACTCCTGGCATACCAACTATAACAGCTTCCTTTGACTGATGTCCAACGCAGCTTTTCTCCAGGGAAATGAGGAATTTGGCTCATCTTCAGGAGAGTACAACAAGAAAAGTTCTCTCAGCTCTCAGGCTAACGAAACAGAATACAGAACAAGATTTCTTTTTCAAAAGAAAAGGAAAAGAATTCATACCCAAGCCCACAACGAGCCAAGCCGACCAACCCCTTGACCCCCTCCAGTCAGCTTCTCATCCCCTCGTTACCCTTAGAAGATCTCACCATCTGCACAAGGGGAGAGAACTCAGGGTTGCCAGATAGCAGTTTCTTAACCTAGGGTCTGTGAACTTGTTTGATTTTTTAAAAAAACAATTTTGATAACTCTACTTCAACACAGTTGGTTTTCTTTATGATGCCATATTTTATTTTATACATTACCCATAGGCTTTACCAGACTGCCAAAAGAAAGGTCCACGATGCCAACCAGTGAGAACCTCCCCTTTAGAGTCAAGTGACTCCTCCCTCTGTGATCCCCACCTTCCCCAGGGGCCTATTTAATCCCTCCAGACTTATAACGACCCCCCTAAGCAGGGAAACAACTCAGGGTTGCTAGAGAGCTGATCTTTCCTCCCTCTGACGTACACAGTCCACACGACTCATTGTACTGTAGCATTGAAGGATAGGGGTCTGGGTTTGCTTCTCATTAGGGCTCTGTGCCATCTTGCTTCTTGGCTCCAGTTCCCACAGCTCCAGACTTGATCCATGTCCTTGTGTTGGTATAGAAATTGCTCTGTCACACCACTACTGAGACTGCTTTACTGGTGCAGACTTATATTACATTCATGAAACTTTCCCCTTGACCCAGGACTCCTCTTGGCTCCACTGTGCCCACTTCTGGGGCCCCCCAGCCTCCGGGAGGATCATTGTTTAAACAAAGCTCTCTCCAAAGAAATGTCAGTGTGTATGTGGAAGCCCAACTTCCTTTGTCTCCAGGCCTTCTTGAGTTCCCTATAGCTCCCTTTTAGAGGCCAACCTCAAGGGCAAAGCTAAGGCCGGTGAACTAGCCATGAATGTAAGCCAGTGTGGGCTCAGCCCACAAACTTTTAACGATTCCCCCTTCCACAGTGATACGTTCATTAAGCCCTGAGCAGATTTAAAGGCGATAACCCATCAAAACTTACCCATCCTGTTCTGTCAGTCCCCTGATGCTCTGCACTCTATTTCTTTGCTAAGGACAAGAAACTACTTATAAGCATTCTACTTCCTACTTAGAGCTTCATGTAATTCTATATTATTTTGATTAAATCTTGTTAATCTCCTAAGGAGAGGAGCTACATTAAATATGTACATTTGAAAGTGAATTTTACATTTCCTGAAGGAAAAAGAAATATCCAACCAAAAGGAAGAATCTTTACAAGTCGTCATTTTGTTAATGACATTTTTTACTTTGAAATTAAATTTACCCATAACATTCATCCCTGGATTCATATTCAATAAATGCAGACAGATCACACAGAGGGTTTCAAGAGGGAGTCCTCCAACAAGTCAATTTGGACTATGAGGATTTAACTAAAAAGGCTGTTTTGCCCAAGGACCAACCATGATGCAGTAAATTTGTGCCAGAGTCATATTTTCTCATATTTAGGATCTTGAGCTAGAAAGGACCTTTGAGATCATCTGGTCCAATTTCTTCACTCTACAAATGAATCCCACAGAGGTTAAACCTCAGGTCTTCCCGACCTGAGTTCAAATCTGGCCTCAGACACTTACTGGTTATTTGACCCTGGGCAAGTCACTTAACCCCTGTTTGCCTCAGTTTCCTCATCTGTAAAATGGGGATAATAATAGCACCTACCTCCCAGGATTGTTTTGAGGATCAAATGAGATCATAATTGTAAAGTGCTTAGCATGGTGCCTGGCATATATAGTAAGCACTATATAAATATTAGCTATCAGTACTATTATTATTAAGCAGCAAGTCCAAGGTCACACAGGCAGTAAACAGCAAAGCTGCCATTCTAGCCTGGGTTTCTGACTCCAAAGCCAACATTTGTTGCATTAGCCAGTTTCTGACCTCTTACACTGACACACCCAGTAAATGAATCAATGAATGGATGAATGTAAAAGCATTTACTAATGACTTACTCTGTGCCATATACTGCACTGGGAAAAGGGAAGGGCTCAAAAAAGCTAAACAAATATGCATCCAGTGCTGACTTGGGTGCTTGATCAGCCCCAGTTCTGCCTGGTATACTCTGGGTCTTGGGCATCGGGCAGCCGTACAGCACGTCCTGGCACAGAAGAGGAGGGGCATTGCACAAGGGGATTACACCCCCAGAAATGCTGACGTCAAACCACCACGAGCAGCTGAATCTTGCACATACATTGTTGTGACGGTATCCCATCTGTCTCCTCTTTCCTCCTTCCAGAATGACAAAGTTTTGCTTCAGCAGAATCACAAGGACTAGTCTGTAGCTCGTGCGGTGAGAGCTCTGTATCTCTCTGCTGATTATAGGAACACCCAGTGTGAGAAGGATACCCGTAAACTCCTCTGGGTGACTGGTCTTCATGCTGCCCTGCTTGCCCTGATGTGCTAACACTTGGGGTGTTGTGTAACCATTTGAGCCAAAGGTGTTCCTGTAGAACCAAGCACAAGAATCTTGTATTAATCGGGCCTCAGAGATAATTATGACAAATAAAAATGTCCGTTATGGGGGAAGAGGCACCCTCCCCTCCATGTGACAGGAGTCATGTGCTCTAGTTTTTCATATAGAAATAGTCTCAGAGGAAGGGATCTCATGCTGAATCATCTCTGTGAATTTCCACTGTAGCAGTCAGTGAGGGAAAGCGTTAGAAATGGAATTTCGGCATTGAATATTGAAGGCTAATATTCCAAATAAGAGGTATCGGTGTGTTGAAAGGCAGCTAGGTATAGAAGATACGATGCTGGATTTGGAACTGAGAAAACCTGGGTTTGAATCCCACCCCTGACAGTCATTAACGGTGTTACCCTAGGAAAGTGGCTTGACCTCTGGGAACCCTAGTTTCCCCACCTGTAAAATGGAGATAATAGCACCTGTGATGCCTATCCCACAAGGCTATTGTGAGGGTCAAATACATTTGGACTCAAGCTATGTGACCAAGCCTCAGTTTACTCACAGGTAAAATACTTACACCAACCAGTATCCCACCCCTATCTGGGATATTTCTCCTAACACATGCTTGAGCTCACAGTTTGGACTCCCAAAGATTAGCTACTCCTTTGAGATCAAGGGTGTTCTTCCTCTGTGGGTTTCTATAGCTCTGGGGTACCCACTAGTGCACTTCCCATTAATTGTCAGCCAGTTGGCAAGTTTAACTCTTAGCAAAGGCATTCACTAAAATGCTCAGTAAGAAAAATAACTACAAAATGTTTCCCTCACAAAATTGGGGTGTACTCTTCCACAAATACACCTGAAAGTACAACAAGAGAATTCACAACTTTGGGATTGCGTGGTCCTAAAGTCCTTTCTCTCTTACGGTCCTCTCTGCAGCCCAAATCTTGACTACCAAGACTATGGCCAAGGGTCCTGCCTCTCAAAGCTACTTCTCCCCTCCAGTGAGGGCCTCTGGTGAAATACTGAATTCTCCAACCAAATCCTTTAAGTGCCACCCAGACAGCCACCAGCATTCATTCAGAGAAAGGTGATGGCCCGTGAAAGGATCACCATGTGTTAACATCTTGTTAACATATTAACCCCTCATTGCCTCTGTTGACTACTCTTTGCTTTCTATGACTATATCAATGTTCGGGAGGGAAGGGGTCACTCCTGCCCCCTTCCCTTAAACTATTTCATAGGGTTTTTACAAGGAAAGCCCTTTCTAAACCTTAAAGCTCTGCAGAAATGAGATGGTTATTATCTACATTAATGGAGAAAAGGGAGGTAGGAAATTAGTTCTTTGGACTTTAAAAAAAAATAACAAATCTTACTTAAGGAAGAAGAAATTGAGTTGCCCTAGAAAAAGAATGAGCAGAGTTGATTTATATAAGTAAGCAAAGCTCCGACTTTCCAGAAGGTTTCAGGAACCCTATTTTCACATCCTCTCAGTCTGGGTAGCTTTTATCCTTTAATACATCTGATCTGTTTTGCCTTGTGAAGAGGGAGGGCCCAGCAGGCTGACACACATGTGTCAGTCTCCTGTCTCTGCAGGTCCTGATTGATGGGGATTGTAATTGTCTAGCATAAGGCTGTGGGTCTGCTGCAAGACAATGAAGCCAAAGTGTCCCCAGTTTCTGCACAACGGAGCCAGTGACGGATGTGCTCCCATCTAATGTCACCGACTGGCCACAGCAATTACTGATGAGCTCTGAAAATATCAGGAGCTGTGAGACAGAGACAGAGACAGAGACAGACCCAAAACCACACGAGGGAATGTTTCCACACATTGATCAGGGAAACAATAAGTCCTGATTTTGAAATTCATGTGATGAAAGCCACGGAGGAGGATTCTGATAATATGGAAATAAATTCTGTATGTTATCGAATGGGAGACTGTGTTCTGAGATGCACTTTATAATCCCTAGGGAAATGCTGCTGCATTTTGTTTTGGGAGCCCTGCCTCGAGGCCTTGGGTGGATTTTATTAGCATCAAGCACACTTTGGCATTACTGGATAAGCAAAATGTTTGAACTGATCACTACATGTTAGGAGGCTTCAAAATATAAATGAAAGCTCTCACTTAAAATTCTTTATAAGATTAAAAAAAAAATCTTGCTTAATTAAAAAGAACTTCAACCTCCCCACTTTTTTGTTTTCAGTTTTACCCAGCTCATGAGTTGGAGGAGAAAGGGAAGAAGCAGCAAAAGTGTCTTGGGGGAAAGGCTGGTTACCAAGAAAGTCAGTTAATGACAAAACAGGTAATGCTACCTGATTCCTCCACTCCGACCCCTTCCCCCACCAGTTCTGGGTGTTTCTATTCCCTCTATCAGTGTCTGCAAAGAATGCTGTCATTCTTTGAGCCCGAGGCCTGAAGGAGTGGGCAGGGCCCTGAGGGCAAGATCTTGTGTCAGCCCCAGGGACTATGGCAAGAGCCTTCTAATTGGGCTCCCAGCTTCCATTCTCCAGCCTCTCCTTCACTCTGCTGCCAAAAAAACAAAAAATAAAACCTTCATAAAGCACAGGTCTGACCATCACACTCCTCTCTCACTCTCCTGTTCCTCTTAGGATAAAATGAAAATTCCCCTATTTGGCATTTACGTCTTTCCCAAACTCTCTTAATATTAGTGCCTTCCCACTGCTAATAGTTCCTATATATATCCCATTTAGAGCTTCTTTGTATGGGCAGTGACCATCTTTTGCCTCTTTTTGTATCCCCAGAGCTTAGCACATGGCCAGACACATAGCCATTGTTCAGTTCTGTTATCTCTTCATGACCCCATTTGAGGTTTTCTTGGCAGAGATACTGGAGTGGTTTGCCATTTCCTACTCCAACTCATTTTACAAATGAGGAAACTGAGGGAAACAGAATTAAGTGACTTGCCAAGATCACACAGCTAGTAAGTGTCAGAGGCCAGATTTGAACTCAGGTCTTCCTGACTCCAGCCTGCTACTCTATCCACTGTGCCACCTAGCTACACATAGGCAATTAATAAGATTGATTGATGAAGATGATTACATGAAGAAAGAAAGAGGAAGGAAGGAAGGAAGGAAGGAAGGAAGGAAGGAAGGAAGGAAGGAAGGAAGGAAGGAAGGAAGGAAGGAAGGAGGGAAGGAGGGAAGGAGGGAAGGAGGGAAGGAGGGAAGGAGGGAAGGAGGGAAGGAGGGAAGGAAGGAAGGAAGGAAGGAAGGAAGGAAGGAAGGAAGGAAGGAGGAAGGAAGGAAGGAGGGAGGAGGGAAGGAGGGAAGGAGGGAAGGAAGGAAGGAAGGAAGGAAGGAGGAAGGAGGGAAGGAGGAGGGAGGGAGGAGGGAGGGGGGGGAAGGAAGGAAGGAAGGGAGGGAGGAAGGGAGGAAGGAAGGGAGGAGGGAGGAGGGAGGAAGGGAGGAAGGAAGGGAGGGAGGGAGGAAGGGAGGAAGGGAGGAAGGAAGGGAGGGAGGGAGGAAGGGAGGAAGGAAGAGAGGGAGGGAGGGAGGAAGGGAGGAAGGAGGAAGAGAGGGAGGAGGGAGGAAGGGAGGGAGGGAGGGAGGGAGGAAGGGAGGAAGGAAGGAAGGAAAGAGAGGGAGGAAGGGAGGAAGGAAGGGAGGGAAGGAGGGAGGGAGGAAGGAAGGAAGGAAGGAGGAAGGAAGGGAGGGAGGGAGGGAGGAAGGGAGGAAGGGAGGAAGGAAGGAGGAAGGAAGGGAGGAAGGAGGGAAGGAAGGAAGGGAGGAAGGAAGGAAGGGAGGGAGGGAGGGAGGAAGGAAGGGAGGGAGGGAGGGAGGAAGGAAGGAAAAGAAAGCAAAAAGCCAGGGAGTAACCCTTCAACAGGGCAGTACAATGAGTCAGATTGTTCCAAAAGGAAGGATTCCCAAAAGAGATGCCTCTTTCTTCAGGTGTCTCAGACAGTCAAATGTCTCTTCTCCACAGCTGCCAATGTCATGGCTTTGACCATGTCACTCTCCTCCCCACTCAATAAACGCCGATGACTCTTATTGCCTTTATGTACAAGGGTTCCTATGAAGCTTTTTTGCATCATGGGGCACCCCTCTTGACGGTGTGGTGAAGCCCTATGGACCCCTTGTTACATATGCATGAAATAAAATGTGTAGGACTGCAAAAGAAATGAACTATGCTAAAATATGGTTAATACCATATTTTTAAAAGTACATTCAAATATGTTTTACATGGTTGCACATATATAACCTATATCAGGTTGTTTACTGGCTTAGGGAAGGGAGATGGGAGAGAGGGAGAAAATTTGGAATTCAGATTTTTTTTAATGAGTGTTAGAAATTGTCTTTATATGTAATAGGAAAAAATAAAATACTATTTTTTAAAAAAGTAAATTCAAGAACAGGTTAGGAGCCCCTGCTCTAGAATAAACTAGAAATTCATCTGTTTGGCTTTTAAAGCCAAACTTCCATCCAGTGCTGCAGGCCTCCTCTCTGTTCCTCTCACAAGGCCCTTCATCTTGTGACTCCATGAATTTGCCCTGGCTCTCCCCCTGCCTGGAATGTCATCCCTCCTCATCACCGCCTTCTGGCTCCCTTCAAGTCCCAGCTCAAATCTCACCTTCCAGGAGAAGACTTTCCTGGTCCTTCTTTATGCTGGTGCCTTCCCTCTGAGATTATCTCCAATTTAATTGGTATACATCTTTGCTCATTGTTGTTTGAATGATGTCACTCACACGTACATATCTCATTAGAGTGTAAGCTCCTTGAGGGCAGGGACTGTCTTTTGCATTTTCTTCCTACCCTCAGAGCTTAGCATTGTGCTTGGCACATAGTAGGTGCTTAATAAATGCTTATTGATTTGATTTGACTTAAAACTCTTCATAACATGGCCCCAGCCTCTCTTTCCAGTTTTGTTGTGCATTACTTTTCTAGCACTCTGTGTTCCAGCCAAACTGACCTCTTTTTACCTCACACATGACCCTCCACCTCCCAGTTTCATGTCTTTGCGCTGGCTGTCCTGCATAGTTGAAATACATTCCTTCTTCTTCTTCTTGCTCAGTCATGTCTGACTCTTTATGACCCCATTTGGGGCTCTCTTGGAGAAGATACTGGAGCGGTTTGCCATTTCCTTCTCCAGCTCATTTTACAGAGAAGGAACTGAGGCAAACAGGGTTAAATGACTTGGCCAGGGTCACACAGCTAGTAAGTGTCTGAGGTTGGATTTGAACTCAGGAAGATGAATCTTCCTCACTTCAGGCCCAGAGCTCTGTACACGATGGTGCTACCTAGCGGCCCCATATAAATATTAACTATTATTCTATCACAGAGCGAGACAGAAAAAATAATAACCAATTTGTATTAAACAACATGTTTGTTGGAAGACATTTGGGGTGAAGATGAGCACATGGGATCACAAGAAACTTGCTTCTCTTCCAGATTCTGGCAATGGTTTGCCCTATAGCAGAGAAGTTACCTAATATAGTGGAAAGAGTTCTGGGTTTGGAATCTGAGGACCTGAGTTCAAATTCCAGCTTTACTATTTACTGTGTGACTCTGGACATGTAACCTCACTTCTTTGGGCCTTGTCTGTAAAATGAGGCACCTTCCAACTCTCCATCCTGTAACCCTATGACATGAAGAGCTCCAGGCTGGTTTTCTGCTTTGAGGAATAGGGTTGCCAGCCGCTGGCACATGAAGATGATTTAAATAGGAGGCAGTGATCTGTGGAGCATTTGAACCTTTTGGAACAGAGCATTCTCTGATTACGAATCATTCAAAGGCTTTCTGACTGTGAAGGCTTGGGGGGGGAAGCACTTAAGTGTCACAGCCTTAGCATCATAGTTCAGCAAGCTTATGAAAGTTCAGGAGGCTTTGAGCTCCCAGAAAACGTGGGACATGCCTCAGGGCTAGGAAGGCGAGGTGGGGAGAGACAGAGGAGTTACCCAGACTGTCATTTGTGCACTCATAGAATGGCAGATATGAAAGTCACTTTAGACATCCACCCTTCTGATTTCACAAATGCGGAAACTGAGGTTCAGAATAGCAAAGTGATTGGCCCATGGTCACACACAGAGTAAGAAGCAGAGCTGGGATTTGAACCCACGTCCTTTGGTTTCCACATACCGTATCCTCATTTCACAATCATGGGAGACATTGGCAAAGGGCCACCCAGCCTGGCTCGCCCACATCAAAGAAGGTGCCGTGCTCTATGAGGAAAGCAGAATCGCAGTAGCTCAAAACAAATGTGAGATGCCCCAAGTTAGACACCTCTCCTTCAAGTGTTCCTATAGACTGTTTGTGCCTGACCTGTGCTAGAGCCTTCCGAGGTCATATTGGTCTGATCAGCCAGGGGCGGACACATTGTACCTCAACCCCAACAGAGTGATTTCATTTTGCTCCTCTTCCAGAATAGAAGATAACAACAAACCAGCCCTACTTGTGCTGGGCCTGTTCCAATTCCGTAGGGATAATGAGATAAAAGCAAATGGGAGTCTAATCATAACACTTTACAATTGAAGAAACTGAGGCTCAGAAAGTTTAAGTGACTTTCTGGTTGTTGTTCAGTGGTATCTGACTCTTCATGATCCCATGTGGGGTTTTCCTTGGTGAAGAGGCTAGAGTGGTTTGCTATTTCTTCCTCCAGTGGAGTGAGGCAGAGTGAAGTGACCGCCCAGGGTCACGTAGCTAGTAAGTGTCCGAGGATGGATTTGAACTTGGGTCTTTCTGACTCCAGGCCCAGTGCTCTATCCACTGGGCTACCTAGCTGCCTCTTGACTTTCTGGTAGTACGTGGCAAATCATAGAGCTGTAGCATAAATCTAGAACTCACCGGAATCCTGTCCTTTTATTTGAAGGGTAAGGAAAACAATGCCCAAAGATGAAAAGTGTCTTGTTCTAGGTTACTACATGGGGACAGAAGCAAGATTTTAAGGGATGTGACCTATATTTGACGGCTGACAACTCACTTGATGAATCAGTGGTTCTACGGAACCTCCTCTCTTTTTGATTCTTTGCTACGTGGAAAGAAAACTGTGTACTCTACATTTAGCCAAAGTCCATCCATTCTACTCAGAGAGAGGTCCAAACAGAAAGCTTCCCCCCCCTTAGAAATCTCTGATCCTGAGGAATGTCCTCTTCCACTTTATAGCCATCATGAAACAAAGTCAGAATTCCACAATAAGGTAAAAGAAAAGTACAATTTAGGTTTAAGTTTTTTTGATTCATTTAAACAGAGCTATAGAAAAGCTAACTATTAACACAGCCTTGGAGAAAGAGCTTCCTAAAACCATCAAGTTATTTACCCTTTCATTCTGGTCAAGGGTGAAGGAGACAAACTGCTCTTAATTGGATTAAACAAGAAGACATTCCCACTCCCGGTTTGGGTTTGGCCGCCATAAACAAGCCTTAGATTCAGGGAATGGGATTCCTCCCTCAAATGGTTTGTCTTCAATTCAAGGAAGACTGATTAGGTCTTTAATTCAAGAGAGACCAAGGAATTCAGAAAGGAAACTGCCATAATATTCATAATATGATTTCTTCATTTCTACAAGACTTCCGAGGCCTTGGCGGATCAGCTTGCACAGTTATGAGAAAGGGAAGGAATTTAAGAGGATGTAAAAGCAAAAAATGCCAATAAACATTTTTTAAATGTAAAAGATTCTCAGAAGCCCTGGGTTTAAGGCCCAGTTCTAACACTTACTAGCTTGGGTGACTTTGAATAAGTCACTAATTTAATCTCTCCAAGCCTCAATTTTCACATCTGTAAAATGAGGGTGATACTTACACCAGCTTCTTCACCTGGCCCTAAGCTCCTCCTCCAGGGCCTCCTCCTGACAAGAAGGTGGGCATTTAAGTCCATCAGGCACACCAAACTGGAAAAGGGAAAATGTGGCTTTCTCAATAGACCCTGGAGTTCTTTTCTGAAGACCAAATGACTGCCTCCAAAGAGGCTGATGAGCAGTTTGGCAGCGCAGAGATGGATTCTCTAACCAAATAAACTCTCAAAGATCTCCTGTTAAACAGTGTAGGTATTGCAGCCTGTGTGGAAATCACAGATCCTGGAAGCATCCGAGTGAGAACAAAATTATGAACTCTTAATTAAAACTGAGGTTGATGCCCAAAAGGCCCAGGCACCACCGTGTCACAACTATTGAATTAAATCAACCTCCAGGAAAAATTAATTTTCTAGTAGCAGGAGCAGTGATACCTTAAAGATACATTCGTTACCTGAATGAGTCCAGAAGTCCAGCACATAGCTGGTCATACATCTGGAGTAAACGACAGACACCGAGCAGGCTCCAGGCCTGGTCCCTTTATTCTCTTAGGAGCACATTTAGGGCTTTCTGTTATACCTGGGTGGCTAAAAACATGGTGATTATATGTGTGAAACCAACCATCTTGACCCGTGCTACCTGAAGGCCAGGTGTGCTACATTTCACTTAGTACCTTTAAGGGGATTGGGGGTGTCTAGGCTTTCTGCACGTGGCTCGGGCCTCCAATGACAGTGTTCCCCCAATTGTAGAGCGTGGTCCCCTGAGTTCTTGTTCCATTTGGCCACCAACAGTCAGATTAGCTCTTACAAAGAAATACTCACTTCAAAAGGTATAATCATAAATTTATAAACTTATTCCACCACAGCGTGGGAGGCATAACCCTCCTCTACCTCCACCTCCACCATCACCTTAGTCCCTGGGGAGAGGAAGGGGATGAGATCCATGTTGTTGTTGTTCAATAGTTTCAGTTGTGTTGACTCTTCCTGACACCATTTGGAGTTTTTTTGCCAAAGCCCAGTCTTCCTGACCTATGTCTTGCCCCTGGACTCCAATGACTCTGGAGGAGAAAGTGAGGCTGATGGCTTTGCACAGCCTTGCCTCACTTAAATCCAATTCACTTGCAAGTCAATACATTACCCTCCTGATGTCATTGTGTTGAGATCTAGGGGTGAGGAACTGTTGAGGTTTAGGGGTTTAGGGGTGCTGGGACCACAAAATCAGAACACACAGGTCCTGCCCAAAAGAATTCGACCCAAGCTTTCTTTCAGCCTAAGACAAGGTTTATTAGATCAATCACATTGGGTAGACTCTTAAAGAGTCTATTAGTGAGCTATTGGCTAGATTATAGGAATCTGAGCACCTTAATGGAGACAAGATGGAGCTTATATACAGAAAGACTATGGGAGGGATCTAGGAGTGGCCAAGGTAGTCTATGAGGCGATAGAACTCCAGGGTCCTGGACCAGATTTGGCCATGTGGGAAAGTCCAGGGTTTTCCTTTCTGGGGTCCATATCCCATCTTCATCAGAACTATATGTTGAGGTCTAGGGGTGCTGGGAACCCCAAAATTCAAGGGCAAAAGATGCTGGTCCTGCCTTGAAAGAATTCAACTCAAGCCTTCTCTCAGTCAGAGAGAAGGTTTATTAGAATATCAGTTGAGGTGGGTGAGATTTTAAGAATCTGAGCCTTTGTGATAGGAATACAACTGGGCCAGACTCTTAAGGAATCTGAGCACTTTAATAGGGGTCAAGATGGACCTTACCTTCAGAAAGACTGTGGGAAGATCTGGAAAATCTAGGAGCGGCCAAGCAGTCTAGGATGACTGGGAGGTAACCGAGAAGGACCCAGAAGGGCCGGGTGCCCCAGGCAAACACCCAGGACCTGGGCCACTTGGAAGGGGTGTAGATGGAATTAAGGGTGGGAAGTGGCTGGGTGATCTGGAGATAGGTAGAGATAGCAGAGAATTGGAGATTGGAGCAGGGTCAAAGCCATAGGCAAGGACAGTTGAAAGGATTATACTGAGATGAGCTTCAGGCAAACCTAGGACCATGTGGAAGAGTTGAGGGGAAGCTGGGGACAGGGGGAGAGTTTGCAAGGCCTATAGCCCTTCAATTGGTCTTCTTCATGAAGGATGAACAACAGCTGGAATTTTGTCATTTCCTTCTCCAGTTCATTTTACAGATGAGTAACTGAGGCAAACGAGGTAAAATGACTTGCCCAGGGTCACACAACTGGTACTAAAATGTCCTCTTTACAGTAACATTGCTAACTTTCCACTACAACACGTCCAATTGACAAAGCAAGGAAGGCTTCACAGAGGAGGGAAATTATTTGGGCCATTCTGAAAAGCAAGGTGGAACTAGGCCCCCAAAGTCACAAACCTCTGCATACCCTTTGACCTAGCCATCCCACTACTAGCCTATGCCCCCAAGAGATTAAAGAGGAAAAAGTCCCATACATACAACCATATTTATAGCAGCTCTTTATGTAGGGGCAAAGGACTGGAAAAGAAGAGGCTGGTCATCAACTAGGTTTATTAATTGTGGTTTATGAATCTGATAGAATACTGTTATGATGAGAGAAATGGTGAAGGGGGTGGTTTTAGAGAAAACTGGGAAGTCTTACCCTGTGTTAAGTGGATTTAAGTGAAGCAGATTTGCAGGAATACAAATACAAGCAGAAAAAAGGAGCTTTCAAGGAGCTTACATTCTAATGGGAGAAGATAACACATTTACAGGAGCTGAAGAAGGGTAGGGGAAAGAGGGAGGTGAAGGTATTGGGAACATGATGAAAAAAGTTTAAAGAGTCAGGAGTGCAGATTGGAGAGGCATGGAAACATAGCTGGCCTGGGCATCTTCTTTAAAACAGTGATTCTGGGAGGACCAGCCAATCAGAGAGAGAGGCAGATGGGGTGCAAGGTACTTCCAACGTATGAAGTCAAGGGGGTAGGGGGAGCTTCCAGGGTAAAGAAGTTTCTGTGGCATAGTAGAGAAGAACCAGAGAGTCAGGAGGGCAGCCTAGGGAGGGCAAGTTTAGGTCAAAATATTGGTGTTGGAGGGTGGGTCAGCTGCACTGCCAATCACATACAGGTAGTGTGACCTAGTAGAAAGAGACCCCCTGGGAGCTGGGAGCCTGGTGGTCTGGTTTTAGCTCTGCCACCAACTCGTTGTGGGACCTTGAACAAATCGCTCATCTCTCTGGGTCTCAGATGCCTCATCTCTAACATGAAGGATTTGGACCAAACCATTTCTAATCAGTTCTAGTTTTAAAACTTCTAGGACTCTTTCCTTTGTTTTCAACAAGCATTTATTAAGTGTCTACTGTGTGCTAGACATTGTGCCGGGCCCTGGGGATATAGATTTTTTAAAAATGGTGTCATGAAGCTTTTGTCTTTGGCTAAGTCCGTTTCATTCCCCACCTCAATGCTCAAAAATTATTTAATTTTTATCTGATAAGTGGCCTTGCTACATGCAAGAGTAGAATATTGAATTTTGAACTATGTTGTATGATTTACACTTCTTTGCCCCACTTGAAGAGGGCTAAGCTGTGCATGTCATAAAACTTGGGTTTAAAGCAGCTTCTGACCTCTCTGAGGTTTTCTAAGGTCCAGAGGACAGCAGGAATATGGTTCCTTGGTACATGTTTCATTATGCATTGTTTTCTCGTCATTACCTACCATTTATTTGCTTATTGATTCTGTATCAATATTAAAAACTTGTATCATTTTTAAAAAATGCTCTCATGGTACTTACAGTCTGTCTGAAAAAAGCAAGAGGAAAAATAGTCAGTTCTGCAAAAAATCACTGGAGTTGACTGAGTTGGAGTGTCACATGGTACAAATTAATCCAATTAACCAATCTGCATACAGGCATAAACTCTCTCCTCCTCCAAGTGACTACCAGTGAACTAAGATTATGATGATGGTGATGGTGATGGTGATGGTGATGGTGATGGTGATGGTGATGGTGATGGTGATGGTGATGATAGCAGCTAACACTCATAATGGTTCCAGAGAACAGATAGTGAAACATGTCTCCATTGCCTCAGAAAAAGATAGTACAAATATTGTTATCCTCATTTTACAGATGAGGAAACTGAGGCTCAGAGAAGGAAAGTGACTTGTCCCTTTTACACAGCTAATAATGATGAAAAGATTGAAAATTTGGAGGAAGAGGATGTGGGTTCAGATTTCAACTCTGTAATTAAACTTCCATAATACTGGATAAGGGTCATTTCCTCTTTCTTGACCTCCTTATGTGTCATATGAGAGGCTTGGACAAGAAGATCACTGAGATCCCTTCCAATGCTAAATCCTATGATCTGAGAATCAAAGAATCTCTCAGCTGGAAAGAACTTGAGAAACTCTCTTACATCTAAACAATGGAAGCTAAGTCTTAGGATTCCAACTTTAATGTTCTTCCCATCTTTCATCTCTAAAATGTAATGGTTTTTAAGTACCAGATGGGATGGGAGAGGCGTGGCTCCTTGGCAGTTTATGCTCAAAAAGAAAAACACAAGCAAAGCAACTAAGGGTTTAATTGACCACAAGTTCAATATAAGACAGTATGATGTCTGCTAAGGAAAAAAAAATAAAAAGCTAATGGAACAGCAAATGGGTGTATATGACTGGATTATAGAGTATGTGAAGTAGAGAAATATCTAATATTAATATATAATATAATATAATATAATATAATATAATATAATAAGACTGGAAAGAAAGGAAACAGCCAGATGATGAAGACCTTCGAATGCCAAGTAGAGGAGTTTATGTTTGATCCTGGAGGTAATAGGGACCCACAGGAGTTTATAAATCATTAAAATTAAGTTTATTGTCTACTCTCAAAGGCAGCAGCCCATTCTATTTCTGAACGGTTAAAAAGTTGTCCTTAATGTTATTAATTATATATTATCTTGTTCTCTGATTATTTCATGTGTGAGCTTATTGCTTCCCCTGGACTGGAAAGTTCCTTATGGCAAAAAGTAGGACTTCCACGTCAATATCTCCCATAGCACCTAGCACCATCAAAAGGGAGGAACAATAATTCCTTTTGGGTCGAATGATGGAGGTGGTAGCAGCCTGGGCACCTGGTTGTTATCAGAAATGATTCTTCATTATCATCACCATCATCAATCACAAAAGGAGGGCTTTCCACAGGAAGGAAAGCACACTAGTCCACTACTGGTGAAGCCGTGGATTGGTCTCATCGTTCTGGAAGATGACATGGAATTATGAAAGAAAAGCCACAATCTCTGACCCTGAGATCTTGCTACTGGGCATATAGCCCGAGGAAATCAGACAGATAGAAAGGACCCCTGCATAACAAAATATTTATAGCAACACGTTCTGTGGGACTTCTGGCCAAGATAGCTGCCTTGAGTAGAGGCAGGCCATCCAGCTCCCACACCCCCCACTGCAGAAAAAACCTCAAGATGGGACCAGATGGAAAAACAGTCAAGAAACCCAAGAAACAGCCACAGGAAGTAACTTCTTTCATCATGGAACTTCACAAAAAGTCATCGCAAAACCTGTAAGCATGAGAAAAGGGGGCCGACAAGAAAAGCCAGCAGACCAAAAACCTAGGAGAGACAGGTGGATCTTGTGAGGCTTTGAACCCAGAGGCAGCAAGAGTAGAGAATTTCCCAGAGAAAGCCTTAGGTTGGTCAGAAACCCACTGTGGACCTTGGAAGCAAGTGGCAGTGGGAGCAGCCAGGGAGGCGGGTCTGTGCTCATTGTGACTTTCAGAGAGAGACAGCCCAGTCCTTTGGGCTTTGAGATAATGCCAGAGGGTTCTGAAGATCCAAGACTCTGAACCTCAAAGATACAGAGGGGTCTAACCCCAAGAGGAAGTTCAGGAACTCGGGTGACCCAGAGCAAAGCCCAGTATTCTTCTGGGTGGTGAAGGGAGGAAGAAGACCTTTAGAGGGATAAAGGACTTTTAAGCATTTCTAGTGAAAAGAACAGAGTTGAATGGGAAT